CCAATTTCAGACATATTTCCTCTTCTTTTTCTTTCGCCACCCATCAGTTCACGTTTCTCACTTATCCACCCCAATTTTTGTATTCATTTTTCTTTTAATTTCAAGTCTACTTCTTATACTACACATCACCAAATAAACAATAATAATGTTATGTACCTACATTAATTGGACATTTTTTTTTTCATCAATGTACTGTGTTGAGCTGGAATTACTCAATTTGTTTGCACTACTTAAATTTTCAAGTTATAAATGTTTCCACCAAGTTAGGATATGGACCTACACTCATTCAGAAGAAAGCAATTGAAAGAGAAACATTTTGGAAAGAAAAGGTATTAATCCGTAAATACCTTGAAAACTATTGGCATCAGAAGACAAAGCTAAGTGGGGGAAAAAGGCCACTTATATATTTCATTTTTTTTTTTTTGGGTCAAAAATATATTTCATTATTTATGAGAAAGAGAGAAGGAATTGTCTTTGTTTTCTTACAAAAATAGTTGTATGCAAATGCAACTATTTATTAAGAGTATGATTGTCCATGAATTTTTGTGGGTTTCTTTAAATATAAAATTATTAAAAATATATTCTCTCTTTCTTTTACTCAATTTTATATCTTTTTTTTCATTTTTTTACTCAATTTTTATTAATTTTATATTTAAACACATCCCAATTTTTATCCATTCTCTCTCCAAAAGTATCTTCTTAAAGAGACTCTCTCTCCAAAAATATCCACTATCTCCTCTCTTTACTCAAATTTTATTAATTTTATATTTTAATACACCTCATTATTTCAACCAAAAATATTTTCTTTTTTTTTATCTAAATTTTAATAATTTTATATTTAAAGAAACCTACAAAAATTCATGGATAAACATGTTCTTAGTACCATGTGGACCATCACAAATATTATTTGACGACAAGACAAAGAAGAAGAAAGCTTACCAAAAAGTTAAATTATTATATAAAAAAAAAATTGTAAAAAATGCATCCGTGTGTAAAATTTTGACATGTCCTCTAAAGTTGGTTACTCAAATTATTCCCACTCTAATATTATAAACCAGTCTACATAAAAAAGATATCTTTTGGGTGCAAATCGGACATGAAATGATTAAAAGTTGTATTGCAATTAGATATGAAAATGTCAATTAAAC